TCCAGAATCTACAAGGAACTTAAACAAATTTACAGGGGAAAAAACCAACCCCATCAAAATTGGGCCACAGATATGAGCAGACACTTCTTAAAGGAAAACATTTATGGGGCCAACAAACATATGAAAATATGCTAAACATCACTGCATTAGAGAAATGCAAATCAAAACCAGAATGAGATACCATCTTATGTCAGTTAGAATGTCAATCATTAAAAAGGCAGGAAACAACAGATGCTGGAGAAGATGTGGACAAATACAACAATGTTGCTATTACATTGTTGGTGGGAGTATAAATTAGTTAACCACTGTGAGAGACAGTGTGTCGATTCCTCAAGAATCTAGAACCAGAAATACCATTTGACACAGCAATCTCATTACTGGGTATATACCCAAACGATCATAAATCATCCTGCTATAAAGACACATGCACATGTACATTTATTTCCGTGCTATTTACAATAGCAAAGACTTGGAACCAACCCAAATGCCCATCAATGATAGATTGGTTAAAGAACATGTGGCACATATACAAGATGGAATAATATGCAGCCGTAAAAAGAATTTGGGAAACATCACATGCCGGGGCCTGTTGGAGAGGGGGGTGGCAAGGGGAGGGACAGCATTAGGATAAATACATAATGTAGATTATGAGTTAATGTAATCAACGAAAATATTAAACCCAAAACTATAAAAACTCTGCAAGACAACCTAGGCAATACCATTCAGGACATAGGCACAGGCAAAGATTTCATGACAAAGATGTCAAAAGCAATTGCAGCAAAAGCAAAAATTGACAAATGGAATCTAATTAAACTAAAGAGCTTCAGCACAGCAAGAGAAATCATCAGCAGAGTAAACAGACAACCCACAGAATTGGAGAAACTTTTCCAAACTATGCATCTGACAAAGGTCTAATATCCAATCTATAAGAAACTTTAACAAATTTAGAAGAAAAAACCCCATAAGAAGTGGGCAAAGGGCATGAACAGACACTTTTCAAGACATACATGTGGCCGACAATCATATGAAAAAAGTTTCATATCACTGGTCATTAGAGAAATGCAATTAAAACCACATTGAGATACCATCTAACATTAGTCAGAATGGCTACTATTAAAGAGTCAAAAAATGACAAACTCTGGTGAGGCTGTAGAGAGAAAGGAATGCTTATACACTGTTGGTGGGACTGTAAGTTAGTTCAACCATTGTGGAAGACGGTGTGGAGATTTCTCAAAGACCTAAAGACTGAAATACTATTTGATCCAGCAGTCTCATTACTAGGTAGTAATAGAAATTTTTCTATTTTAAAGACATGCATGTATATGTTAATTGCAGCACTATTCACAATAGCAAAGACGTGGAATCAACCTAAATGTCCATTGATGATAGATTGGATAAATAAAATGTGGTACACCATGAAATACTATGCAGTCTTAAAAAAGAACAAGATCATGCCCTCTGCAGGGACATGGAGGGGCTGGAGGCCATCATCCTTAGAAAATTAATGCAAAAACCAAAAACCAAATACTACATGTTGTTACTTACAAGTGGGAGCTAAATGATGAGAACACACGAACACGTACAGTGACAAATCACACACTGAGACCTTTTGGAGGGTGGAGGGTGGGAGGAGGGAGAGAGTCAGCAAAAATAACTAATGGGTACTAGGCTTAATGCCTGGGTGACGAAATAATCAGAACAACAAACACCAGTGACACAAATTTACCCATGTAACAAACCTGTACTTGTAGACTTGAACTTAAAAGTTAAAAATACACAAAAGAAAACAAAAAAGGAATGTAAAATAATATGACCACTGTGGGGGAGTTTGGCAGTTTCACTTCTAGGTTGTTATGTAAGGACTAATATTAAGGCCTGACATCACGTGCTATCTTGGCATCTGGTGAAAGTGGAAGGGCTACAATGGCCTAACTGCACATTTCCCTCCCTACTCTGCCCCTGCAGATAAGGTTCCTGCTAAACCACTCTGCTTATCAAGGAGACCAGATACAGTTCCCGCTTATCTCTGAACAGTGGGTTTCAGTTCCCTGGTAGCCTGTAGAATTATTCAAACAAGCCAATCATATGCTCCTGTGGGATCTAAGGGTCACCCCACCCCCTTGATATTACAAAGCTTGAGCTTGTGTCCCAGAGCCCCTGGTTTTTCCGCCTGCTCCTAAGTGCAGTCCTTGTGTGGACCTATGTGCTGTGTGGCATTCTCTCCAAGGCCTGAATGTACCTACCCATGAATTGCTTTTGAGCGCATCTGCTCAGTGTCAGGTGTTGCGTGTTTGGCTATCACCATAACCCTAAAATAGGAATCTCTCCCTTAGCAAGGGGATGAATAGGAGGCAATTAAAGCTGAGTCATATATCCAAAATAATTGAAAACAGGTATTCAAACCATGTTGAACAAGTGCTTTCAGAGTAGTCATTCACAAAGATGGAAACAACCCATAAGTTTATCAGCTGATGAATGACTAAACCAAACCTGTTATACCCATACAACGGAAAACTATTCAGCTGTAAAAATAAACGAAGTATGGATTCATGATACCATGTGAAAAAATAAAATTCTAGGCCTTCAACTGATTGAATGAACCCCCTGCTTGGCCAGAGTACCCCAGAGAAACCCTAAGAACTATGTTCCCAGCCATCATGAGATAGGGGGGTTGGACGTGCCTTGTTACACCACTTCCCTTCTGTGGTTTAGACACAACACCTGACCAGCATTAATGTTAAAAAAGAGATCAAAAGGCTGACACAGCAAACTCTTTGTGAAAATAACATACCGAATTATAAAGAGGACCCAAGGCCATGGCAAACAATGGTTAAGTCACGCACCCCTACACTTAAAGAATAAACTTTGTTCTAACTGCCACAGGGGTTTTCTTTTCTTTTTGTTCCCAGCAGCTAAACAAGCACTGGCCTTGAGATAAGCAGTATTAAAACAATTAGCTTATCCACTGCCAGAGGCGAACTGACCTTCCTGTGCCACAAGCTGTAACTACAGCTTTGATTGAGCAAGACACTCAGCAACTTTCTCCTGATAAGACAGGACTGACCAAGGACTGGTTCTGGCCGGTTAACAGAAGTTGCACACTTGCATAACTTTCTGCCCTGGAAAGACCTTTAGATGTATAGAGCCTAATTGTAATATGTTTGAATGTTAAGTCTCCACCCCGAAGTGAACAGGGGTCATTCAGCACTTATGTGTTAGGATCACCTCAATAAATATTCATAGCTTCTCCTATAACCTGTTGAATATGTATACTTGGCCAACCCATTCAGCATAAATTCCTGTCTCACGCCTCCCTTCCTGCAATGTGCCTGCCTTTCAGGCTTTGCTGGAGGCTGTGCATCCCAGCCTGTTAGGATGGCCATCTTGCAGTCTGTAACCCTTTATAAGAAATAAAGCCCCCTTAATTTGTAAATAAATAAATAAATCGCGTGATTTTTCAAGTTAAGAGTATGTTTCAAGTTTTACAAAATGTCCAGAATAGGTAAATCTGAAGAGATAGAAAGTAACTTGATGCTTGCCAGGAGCTGAGAGAAAGGAGGAGTGGAGAGTTGCTTAAGATATAAGGGTGATGGTTGCACACATGTGTATGTACCAAGTGCCACTGAATTATGTACCAACTGCCACTGAATTATATACTTTAAAGTTGTTAATTTTATGTAAATTTAACACTTATAAAAATTAGTGGTTATTTCAAGAGAGGAGGAAAGCATGTAAGTTATTGGAATTAGAAATTCCAGTATTATTTTTATCTACTTCTATGTAGTTAGCTATTTAAAATAACATATTTATTCACCTCTTAAATAAGAAAATGGATAAGTATTTTCAAATAAAAACCATTGATATATTCTTCACAAATTGAATCTACTGTAAGGCTCTCATTCCCAAATATAATTTAAGTGTTAAATACCTTAACACGAAATCCAACTAATTTTAAAGAACATGCAATATAAATAAAAATATTTAGTAGAAAGTACTTCGAGGTTTCTGATGTTCATAGATGTTTTGCTTGCTCTTTGTTACATCGGTTCATAGTCCTGGAGATTTACATAGTTAAAAACAACCATTATTTTTTACTTAGAAGCTGAGGCAATCTATGTGATATGCTACATAATTTTTAAAAATAATTTATTAGGCTTTTACTTTTGAGATGAAGATTTTTGGAGGTTGACTTCTACCAAAATGTAGAATCAAGTGATGTTATTCTTATCCATTATCCCTTTTTTCTTACAATTTTTCATTACTAGATTAAATTGTCCAAAAATGCCCTTAGTGAATATTTCTTTAGTTCTCTAGACATGGGCACATTCATAATAAAATGCTTCTAGAGAAAGCAAACTTAAACCAGAAAGCATTGTTTTGTCAAAGCTTAGACCACAGGTGTGTGGATTTGTTCACCTAACCAAAGCCTCCTGAAGCTGATTGCAAGCACCAATTAGTGAGTGCATCTGGTCCCAGGCTTATTGGATCTGAATCGCTGGTTGGGAGGTAGAGCAATAGCTTTTTTTTTTTCTTCACAAGAATGCAGAGTGAATATAATATGCGGTACTGTTATTCACTTCATAAATAATCCCTTTGTATCACCCACTTGAATTTCTCAAATCATCTTGCAAAGCCCTACTTTAACAATTCAGTAGATAAATATCAAATATTATGTCAGACTTAATTTCAGACACATCCACATGATTGAGAAAAAGACACAGTGGTAGGGGGTGCAGCCTAGAATCACTTTCCACATGTTCTTTCCTGATTTTCTGATTTATCTTTCAATGGCAAAAAATTCAATTACTTTTGCACCAAATTAATAATAACTTCAGCTGTGAGGACGAAAAGCCAAAACTATGCTAAGGGCTTCTCAGTGCTTTCCAGAATGATAAATCATCACTCACACCTGAGGAGGCAAGAGGTTTATAAACACCTGTGGAGGCCCACTTCCCGAGATGTTCTGTTTCCCGTGATACCTTGGGCTGGAATCTGAAGCAATGAAGCTCTCTTTCATGTTAGGAGAGCTCCTCATGCTTTTCGAGTTGATTCATGGTCTCCAAGATGGTAAATCAAAGAGGGAATTTTTGGAGGTGGCAATTTTAAACAGCAGGGCTTTTAAAAAAAAACATATTGTTGACTTTGGGGGTTTGTTTTTATAACCTGGTGATCAACTGCTAGTAACTAATGATTGCAAAGGTACAGCCAGACATACTTTTATCTTTACCCCTGTACTTCCTCTTGAATTTTTCCTCTAAGCTATTCTCGAGATGCTGTTGTTTTTAATTTTTCTTACATGCAAAGTATTTCCAAGTTCTCTGCTGGATACTAGCTTGTTACTTTGCTGAATGTGAAATACTTACAGTGACTGGCAAAATCAGGAGAGACTGCCTGGTGCCTAGCGGAGGAGGTCACCTAGGTCCACATTTCTGGCCATGGGGTGTGAAGATTGGACAGAGTAGTCAGCTGTATTCAATTGTAAATGATTCCTTTTCAGAGTTGAGGCTCTGAATAGATATTGCATAGGTTTTAATCCTGATCTGCCACTTAGCAGCTATGTGACTTAATTTATCTGTGTGTAAATCTGGCATAACAATAAAATTGATGTCATAGAAATGTACTGAAAATGAAGACACCAAACCAAAACTTAACATAGTTGAAAATCATAAAAATATTATCAAAGTAACTGCAATATTATTTTGTTTCAGCATTCTTTAGTTTCACATACCAGTTAATATTTATTGGCTCAAATATTTTGATGCAAAATAAAATTTTAAGTAGAAGCACATGATATATTTTTTCATTGTGTGCAACCAAATATCAAAGCTTTTTCTTGTTTCTCTGTTTCAGATAGATATCACTTTTACACCTAGATATATTTCAGAAATGTAGTCATGAGACCTGTTAATAAAATTCGAACAATCTCTAAAAAAAATTTGACTTATTTGGGTTAGAAATTCTCAGGAAGTGCTTCTACCATTTTTCCACATTCTGATGAAAAAACAGATGTACAGAGATTAAGTAATCGACCCAAAATCTCCCAGTAGAAAAATATACAAATAGAAACAAAACATTTTCACTCTACAGTTGGGAATTCAGCTCAAGAGGTTGAAAGTTTCCTGAGCTATTTGTTTGGGAGCCGACATACTATTTGACATTTTCCCTTTTAAAATTTCTCTTTCAACAGTGGCTGTAACCTGTACTGAATCCTGGCTCCAGGTCAAATTTAGACAAAGGCCCCTGATAAATGACCTGCAACCTTTGCAACATGAACTCTTTCTAGGAAATGGCTGTCCTGTAAACCTCGTTGAGCCGGATTTCTTTGTGTTCCTTTATCTTCTAACTTTTTGTGGCATCGTAGTGACTGTAAGAACAGTTCTTATTTCAAAAAACAATGTATCTTTTGACTGTTTTTGGTCTAGAAACCAGTGACTAAAACTGCAGTATTCAGATTTTAATGTCGGTTGATGTAATAGTTCGTGTAATATTGACTATGCTAACATTTTTGGATATTGCTTCTATCTGTAGGAAAAAGAAGGTTTGGGATTCCTATTTCAAAACCTATTTTTTCAGGCCAGGTGCGGTGGCTCACACCTGTAATCCCAGAAGTTTGGGAGCCTGAGGAGGCCGAGGCGGGTGGTGGAGTGGATCACAGATCACAATGTCAGGAGTTCGAGACCAGCCTGATCAACATGGTGAAACCCTGTCTCTGCTAAAAATACAAAAATTAGCCAGGCATGGTGGTGTGCACCTGTTATCCCAGCTACTCAGGAGGCTGAGGCAGGAGAATTGGTTGAACTTGGGAGGTGGAGGTTTCAGTGAGCCAAGATTGTGCCACTGAACTCCAGCCTGAGCGACAGTGAGACTCCATCTCAAAAAACAATAGCAGCAACAACAAAACCTATTTTTTTGGCCACATATCTCTTTTGTCTGTAATAGTGATTTTTAAAAATATTCTCTGTGGTAAAATCTAGTTTGAGGGAAACATTTTGTTTTCAAACAGTACCACAAATAGCCCACTCTTTTGTTGTTGACCTAAAATTTTGAGGAAAATGGGGTATATCAGATTATATAGCTCCTGTATTAATAAGAGAGAAATCAATCTTTTCTGTCACCAGAAAACTTTATTTTTTATAATGTTAACTTGCTGCTGTTTTGTAATAATAGCCTAGTTTTTTCCTTTTTGGAGTCACATCTGTTTCTGGTAAAGATTGTTTAGGTGAACAGATTCTATTATTGGATCCAGGTGCATGACTCCATTTGTTTGCTACTGTGTCGCTAGCATCAAAAAAAAAAAAAAAAAAAAGTCTAGAATTTGCCAAGTACTCGACTTAGCATGAGGCTGACTCAACTGCTTTTCTAAAATTGTCAAATACCTAGCTAAAATTCACACTGAATAATTTAGGTCTGCCTAAGTCAGACCCTGACCCTTAAACAAATGGGGTGATCAAAAGTTGTCTTTGCAGACTCAACTGCCAAATACAATGTCCCTGCTCCTATGGCAGGGGCTGTTCATGTCTGCTCAAAGCAGGCATTTTTACCGCTTAGCTCTGACTTCTACTGCATGCCTTGCACTCATACCTACTTTACTTTATAAGGTAAAAATAAAAGTAAAAATTATTTTGTTTTAATCTATATTTTAAAAATAGAATTTGAAATCATTTGAAAGAGATATAATTAAGATAACTTATGTTCTTTACACCTTTAGGAACAGCCAGTAGGTATTCTCATTGAAAGTGCAATCGTATATAACTCGGCGAATTTTGAGTTCGATGTACACATCCCAGTATCATGCTATATTCAAAGGTAAGGGCAGTGGACTACTGAGATTCAGGCTAACATTGTCTTTGGCTTCTAGGTGTTCTGATCAGCTAAACGACTGGACGTTATGCTACAGTTGGGCAATGGATCAAATCTGATAGATGGTGTTCTGTTTGGTCATGTGAGTGGATCTTAAAACATTTAGTTGATTCTCTCAATGTAATTTCTGAATGAGTAGAAAAGGCTCAGTTGCCATATGAGAATTAAATTCTACAGTCACTAAACAGATTATATCAAAAGGGTTTGTTAATAATCTTTCCTTTTCTGTGGTGTTCCTTCTCTGGACCCACCCATGCTGCCTCATCCGTGACTATTACAGGAGCTCTTAAGTTTTTGGACAAGCCGTACCACCTTTCTGCAGATGTAGGGAGGAGCCAGGAGATTCAAAATCAATATTTTCTCACAATTTTAAAACTAGAACTGAGTCTCAGATTTGTCAGGTTCTGCAATATAAAAAAATATTGACTTTCTAATGATCAAAATTCTCTCCGTATTCGAGAAACTTCTCTGCAATGAGAGGAGAAAGCAGGAGAACCTGTTGATGAAGGTGGAGGTAATTCTGCTTGTGGTCAAGTCCCTGGGTGAGCTGTTCCCAAGGCCCAGTTGCATGTATGTTCTCTCTGCCCCTAGAGTGTTCATTCCAACCCATTTTGAACAGTCTGGCTTCTGGAGATACAGAATTTAATGGCTATATTTATCTTACAACCACTGACTTCAACTGCTGTGTGAAATCTGCTTTTCTCATTCTTTAACAGCGTCTTTGGTCCTTCTCATAAGTGAAAATCAAGTCAGGTCCCTATCTCCAATGTTATATCAAATTTAGGTTTCCTTTAGGACTCCTAGAGTTTCACAGAGCACACAAAAGATTTGGAGAGGAAGACAGTTCAGGATAATCTGAGTAGTATATTTCCCTCCGCTGCTTTTATTTGCGTGTTTTGCTGGGTATGATATGATGAAAGAGCTTGGGTCACAGTCATCTCAGGCTACGTGGTGTAATTGCAGTCCATTTCTAGCAATACCTTCAGCCAGAGGTTTACCTAGAATTATGGATGTGTGAGTATTTTTAGTCCTTAGGAAGGGGGTGGTCATCACAACTGCATATTTCCTGATGGACCAATCTAGACAAGACTTACTTCTTCTTCCATGCAAATGCTACCATGGGCCTCCACACAACCTCCTCATTTTCTGTCTTGGTTGTTTTTCATTCCAGTATGTTGACTTCTTGAGGTCCCCTCTTCAGTTGACAGGTAATCTTGAGTGATATCCTGGAAATATGGCTAAAACGTTGGTACCTGTGGGGGAAATTACTTAGTCATACTACAATACATGGTGGGAGAATATGCCCGTTCTGTCCCCTTTCCTACACCTGCATGTCTCCCACATGTCATTCTACTGCATAGGCAGATACTTAGGAGTAAAATATCAGCCTGTTGCTGCAGGCACCTCAGTGTTGGAGAATCTGATAAAAACACCCTTATTTGGCTTTATTAAGGGAGGGAGAGTTTTAGTGACCTCACTTATCCCTCTGTCATAGAAATGCATGCCTCTAATTCTCTGCAGGTGTCTGGTGAGATGATTAGAGATAAGAGCTGCTTCAGCCACTTATTAAGTGTTTTTGGTATTTGAATGTCTATGAAATTAGCTTCAGATCACAATAGTACATTTTGGGAAAATGAAAAGTTGTATTTAACCTTCTGTAACTTTTTTCTCATATTCTGTGAAATAATAAATTTTCATTTTGGTCTAAGCTAGTGGATTTGGCATTCTCTCACAGCCAAAAGAGATCTGTCTAATTTAGATTCTTTCTCCACACTTCAACTTTTTATCCACCCCGAAAAGCATAATAGACACAAAGCTTAAATCTATGTATTTTTTTCTCTTGTTCAGAAGGTTTCCAATATTCTTCATGGTGAGAAGGAGAGAGAATAATAGACGTGAATGTAGAAGGCCAGTGGGACAGCATCGCTCACTGTCACGGGAAATTAAGGACTTGGGAATCCATCCAAGAGCATCTTATGCGTAAGAGCATTTTGAATTAGGACCATAAATGTTTACAAGTACATTCATATAAAAAAGGCCAGGGTTTAGTAAGGTGGTGACATATGCCACACTTGGTGTACTATTGCCCAGGAATATTGCCTTTTTTATGGTTAAGGATATATTTTTATCTTGGCATGTCTTATTTCCTTATGTAAAAGAGATTTGTAATTGTAACATCAATATTTCTTTTATCAAGTTCTTTCAGCTAGGGAAAAACCATCTTTGGAGCATGTAATCTAAGTATGCAATGGGATCATAGAGTCCCATAAAGATAGTAATTAATATCTATGTTAGCTCTAATTTCAGCTTTTTGTTCTGGAAGAACTAAATGCCTGCAAGAGAGAACTCAAATGAGCTGTTAGACTATTCAAATAGGCTATAATCTTTGAACTTCAGTATGCTAGAGAGACAGGCCCTTATTCCACATATCGACCAACCTCATAATTCTAAACTTGAGCTGGTACACTCATGTACAATTTATAATCATTTGCTAAGTCATTTACTAAGCATTTGATAACTCATAGCTATATATACACACAATATATATGTGTGTGCATAGATGCGTATATATGGTATTTGTGATACTTGAGTCATTAGAATATTATCATGGTTCTGGGGTTTAAAATTGATGCCTTCTTTTCCCACTTTCCCACTTTGTTGAGCCTCAGTGGTTCTTTAGTTGGATAGCAGTTTCCCATCAGTACAACAATATGACCGTTCCCTTTCCTTCCTTACAGGAACAGTATTCCCTTGTTGAGCTACATAATGTTATCCCTTCCTAAGTGTAAGAACCAAGCTATGCATTCTGGATGATGAGGCAACCCTACTTCACCTGGTACTCTGGCTGCTTGAAGATGTCATTGCCTCTTGGAAGTTGGACTAGTCACTGGATATTGTCTTTTGTCATTTCAAATGTGCTATTTTTAAATGAGAAATGGGCTCTGTTTTCTATATTTATGAACTGTTCGGGTAGGGAGAAAAGCTTTTCCTTCCCATGTTTTAAACTTGTAATAAAGATATTTTAAAATAAACTTTTACAATTCTTAATAGTTATTTATAATTTTTAAAGAAAGCTTGAGTCCTGATTCACAGAGCATTCTTACCTATCATCATCTGTTTTTGGTAGCAATTGAGTATTTAAGATACAGTAGTCCTCCCTTATTAAGTTTTGCTTCCCATGGTTTCAGTTACTCAGTCAACTGTGGTCTCAAAATACTAAAATATTCTTAGTATCTTCATGGAAATTCATAATCCCATTTCATACTTGTTACCCACTCCAAAGAAAGAGATACACATTCACATAAGTCTTGTTGTAGTATATTTTACATTTTATTATTGTTAATGTCTTACTGTGCCTAATGAAACTTCATCATAGATACATATAAGAAAAATTAGTATATATAGGGTTTTGTACTAACCCTGATTTCAGGACTTCCCTGAGGGTGTTGGAAAGGATCTCCTATGGATAATGGGAACTAATGTAATCTAATTCTCCAGTTGATCCCCATTTCACTGACTTCTAAAATAAGATGAAATCAGAATTTTCTTTGTAATTGGGTCAGAAAATAGACTATTTTAGTCTCAACTTTTCTGTATTTTTCCCCCTCTGTATCACTTTCCTTTTCTGTGTGTTAGCAATTTCAAATCAGTTTGTGCCTATCAAAAGGCTAGAATTGAGAGGAAATACAATTCCAGTTGGTTCCTGTATTATTTATGATTGCTATTGATTTCCTTCAATACTTTTCATTTCATTCAAAACTCAACTGTTGGGCACAAGAGGCCTAGCTTTTGGCTGATTTTGGCTTTTGACGTGTTTTCCTCACTAAGCTTAACCATTTCTATATTTTGATTCAAAGTAAGAAATGTGCAACTCTTCCTTTCATGTGAACACTTAGAGGCCATTGTAGGGTTATTAATTAACATCTTAATGTTACTGTCTCTGGAAATAGGGCTGAGAAGAGGAAAAGAGACAAGAATGCTGGTCAGTAGAGCAGTAGGACATTTATTACATTTGCTGTCTTTATGAACTTGGTTCCTGGTGCCCCAAAACAATTACAATAGTAACACTAAAGATCACTGATCACAAATCACAACACATACAATCCTGAAAAACTAGAAATACTGTGCGAATCATGAAAATATGACACAGACACGAAGGGAGCACATGTTGGAAAAATGGTGTTCAACTTTCTCAATGCAGAATTGCTACATGTCTTTAGTTTGTAGGAAATGTAATATCTGCAAAGAATGATAGAGTGAAATGCAATAAAAGGCATGTCTGTATTTTCAACAGTGATAGTACAGTCTGCAAAGACTGAAATATTCTCTGGCCAGTTTAACAACCCCTGAGTTATATTCTCTCCATTTTATAGGTAGGGAATATAGAACCTGCTCTGAAATGATGAAATATTTAGTCAAAATTGATACCCATAGTAAGTTGCAGAGCCTGTCCTATAATACAGGCCTGCCAAAATCAGATCTTTACACTTAAAAAAAATATGATCAGGAGGTGTCTACACGTTGGCGGGCAACGAAATGTCTGTGACATAATGCCAGGAGCTATTACTTGGGTGTTTTCTAAATGTGAACATTTTATTACTTAGCTCTGTTGTCCTTTGACTTCAAATAATTCCTGAATTTTAAAAACTCTAACTTTTATTTTTGAACCATTAGATTTAAGGAAAACAAGTGCACACTTTTTTTTCTCTTCAGGAATGCCCATGAGGCATTGTTGTTGAGAGTTTCATCAAATATCAACCAGTGGTTTTGATGACCAGAACTTAACATCCCAGTAAGATGTTCCCCTTGAAAGGTAAGTCTAGCTGGCTACAGAGATTAAAGTTCTCTGACATTTGTTTGGCTTCCAGGAGTTTCTGATGAGAGTAGAGATGTTAGAAAATATGCTGAAGTCCAGCCCTGAGACCTGCCTGACTGGTAGATGGTGTTCTGTTCTTTCATGTGCGTAGATATGTCATACAATGTTTATATATACGGCTGACTGTCTCGGTGTATTTTATTGATAATAATGAGCCTATTAACTTGTTTCACTGGTAACTGACACTATTTTAGTTTTACAAAAATTTTTAAAATTTTAATTATTGTGGACACATAGTAGGTATATATATGAAGTACATGAGATGTTTTGATTCATACATGCAATGCATAATAATCACATGGATAATGGGGTTGCCATCCTCTCAAGCGTTTATCCTTTGAGTTAGAATCTAATTAATCTCTTTCGGTTATTTAAAAATGCACGATTAAGTTATTGACAACCGTCACCCTGTTGTGCTGTCAAATAGTTGGTCTTATTCATTTTATTCTATTTTTTGTATGCATTAACCATCCACACCTCCCCCAACTTCCCACTCCCCTTCCGAGTCTTCGATCGCCGTTCTTCTACTCTCTATGTCCATGAGTTCAATTGTTTTGATTTTTAGATCCCACAAATCAGTGAGAACATGCAATGTTCATTTCTCTGCCAGGCTCATTTCACTAAATGACCTCCAGTCCCATCCATGTTGTTGCACGTGATAGGCTCCTACTCTTTTTTTATGGCCATGTAGTACTCCATTATGAATATGTACCACGTTGCCTTTATCCATCATCTGGATAAAGTGGATGCTTATGTTGCTTCCAAACCTTAGCTATTGTGAACCATGCTGCAACAAACATGGAAGTGTAGATATCTCTTCAACATACTGATTTCTTTTCTTTTGAGTATACACTCAGCAGTGGGATTACTGGTTCACATAGTAGCTCTATTTTTAGTTCTTTAGGGAACTTCCAGCTGTCCCGCATAGTGGTTGTATTAACTTATATTCTCACCAACAGTATACAAGAGTTCTCTTTTCTCCACATTCTCACCAGCATTTGTTATTGCTTGTTTTTGGGAGACAAGCCATTTTAACTGAGGTGAGATGATATCTCATTGTACTTTTGATTTACATTTCTCTGATCAATGATGTTGAACACATTTCCATATGCCTGTCATTTGTATGTCATATTATGAGAAATGTCTATAAAAACCTTTTGCCCACTTTTTCTTTTATCAGATTAACAGATTTGTTTTCCTATAAATGTTTGAACTCTTTATATATTCTGGTGATTAATCCCTTGTCAGATGGGTAGTTTGTAAATACTTTCTCTCAGTCTTTGGGTTGACTCTTTACTTTGTTGATCATATCCTTTGTGGTGCAGAAACTTTGTAACTTGCTGTGATCACATTTGTCCATTTCTGCCTTGGTTGCCTGTGCTTGTAGGGTATTGCTCAAGAAATTTCTGCCCAGACCAATGTCCTGGAGATTTTCCCCAATGTTTTCTTTTAGTTTTATTGTTTGACATCTTAGATTATTCTGTTCCATTGGCCTATGTGCTTATTTTTATGCCGGTACCTTACTGTTTTGGTGACTATGGCATTATAGTACAGTGTGAAGTTGGATAATGTGATGCTTCCAGATTTGTTGTTTTTACTTAGTCTTGCTTTGGCTATACAGGACTTTTTTGGTTCCATATGAATTTTAGGATTTTTTTTTTCTAGTTCTGTGAAGAAGGATGCTGGTGTTTTGATGAGAACTGCATTGAATTTGAAGATCGTTTTTGGCAGTATGGTCATTTTCACCATATTGATTCTACCCATCCATGAGCATGGGATGTGTTTGCCATCCCATGGAAACACTTTTTTGTGTGGTCTGTGATTTATTTCAGCAGTGTTTTGTAGTTTCCCTTGTAGAGGTCTTTCATGTCCTTTGCTAGGTATATTCCTAAATATTTTGTTTTTTTTAAGCTATTGTAAAGTTGAGTTTGATTCTCAGCTTGGTTGCTGTTAGTGTATAGCAGAAATACTGATTTGTGTACATTAATTTTGTATCCTGAAACTTTGCTAAACTCATTTACCAGTTCTGGTAGGTTATTTTTTGGACGAGTCTTTAGGGGTTTCTGGGTATATGATTATATCATCAGCAAACAGTGAAAATTTGACTTTCTCTTTATTGATCTAGATTCCTTTATTTCTTTCTCTTGTCTGATTGCTGTGGCTATGAATTCCTGTACTATGTTGAATAAAAGTGGTGAAAGTTAGCATCATTATACTGTTCCAGTTCTCAGGGGGAATGCTTTCCAACTTTTCCTTGTTCAGTATAATGTGGGCTGTGGGTTTGTCACAGATGGCTTTTATTACCTTAAGTTACATTCGTTCTGTGCAGATTTTGCTGAAGGTTTTAATTATAAAAGGATGCTGGATTTTGTCAAATGCTTTTTCTGCATTGAGATGATTGTGTGACTTTTGTTTTTAATTCTGTTTATGTGGTGTATCACATTTATTGACTTGCATATGTTAAACCATCTCTGAAACCCTGGTATTAAACCCAGTTGCCCATGGTGAATTATGTTTTTGATATGCTGTTGGATTCAGTTTGCTAGTATTTTGTTGAGGATTTTTGCATCTATGTTCATCAGACAAATTGGCCTGTAGTTTTCTTTTTTTGTTACATACTTTCCTGGTTTTGGTATTAAGTTGATAATGGCTTCATAGAATGATATAAGGAAGATTACCTCTTTCTCTATCTTGTGAAATATTGACAATAGGATTGGTACCATTTTTTCTTTGAATGTCTGATAGAATTCAGCTGTGAATCTGTCAGGTTCTGGACTTTCTTTCTCAAGCAGGAGTTTTGCCCCATAGCCACCATAGCTGGTAATGTGGTAAGTCCGCAGTCTCAGAGGCTTCCCCAGGCCCTTGATGTAGTACCTGCTTATCACTGCTGGTAATTCAGGGCCCAAGAGCTTCTCAGTTAGCAGGTGACAAATGCTGCCAGGACTGCATTCTTGCCTTCAAAGCAGTGGGTTCCCTTCTGGCCACGGGTGTGTCTAGAAATGTTGTATGGAACTAAAACCTGGAATGGGGGACTAACAACTCTGTGTTAGTCTCTCCTT